TGTGTGTGTGTCAGAGAGAGAGAGGCTACATTTGTCTAGACCCAAGAGAATAAAAGAAAAAAAAATCCCCCAAAAAAGATCACAAAGCCTTATGGTAAGGTTTGGTTTTAGCGTTGGAGTTCTGGTTAGGTACAAGGAAGGGGTTGGAGGTTAGCTAAGGTTAAAACCTCAAGTTAGATATGAAAAGTACACTACAGTGTCTGAAATAGTGACACATACTCTCACAAATGTCATGAAACTGCAAAATTTGGCAAAATGACTCTGCTTTCTAAAGATAATACCAGTTATGGAGTCATAGCTCATTGAGATTAGCGTCCCCACACTTTCTGTAATCCATGCTGTATTGTTTAAATTTATTTAAATTATTGTTTTATACAGTGATGATAATATAATGTTGAAGCTTAGCTTAGAACAAAGACTGGAAAGGGGAGCCTGTCCACCAGTAACAGAATACACCTCCTCTCAATCAACAGTTTAATCATTTTCCACCAGATGGATAATCCACATTTAACTTACACTTCAATGTACACACTAGCTGTGCAGCTGTGGTTCAGACAAGAAAGGTTTGATCAATGTATGCTGTAACCCTACAACACTTAGTATGTAAAAAGGGTGTAATGTTCCTGTTAAGTCATTGTCCTCAGTGTTTTTCACTTGATGTTACTGTTGCATGACCTTACTTCACTTCTAAAGAAGTGTAGAACAATAATCAAAAAGCTTTCAGCTTCGGTTTAGTCAAATATGACAGTAAAACACACATTTCTGTGAGTCATGCGCTCAAACCAGGTATGTTCACAGGGTTTAGCGTCGCCACACCCATTATAGAAAGGCGATATTTAATGTTTGAATGTCAGTGTACACAATGGTAGTCGTTTGTTTTAAACAGCAGTCATCTTTCAAATCTCCCTTAAATCTAAAGCCTCACTTTTATAAACTGACTATTTTTATTCCATTCTGCTTATTTACATACCATGCTGTTTTAAATGTGTGCTACATACAAAGAGTTTATCGTAATTCTAAAAAAGGAAATGAAAACTGTAACTCTAACCCTGACCTTGATCGAACATCTCTGTCAAACCACTAACCCAAAAAATTTCCCACTTCCTCCTGAGGAAATTTTAATCTAAGTTGGGTCCTCATTAGGTTAAAAGTACTGCGCACACACACACGCGCACACACACACACACACACACACACAATCACATGCTTCATTATGTGTCACCTCTGGCCCTGTTTCTGGTAAGTGTGTGTGAGTCTAAGCGTAAGTCCATTTACTATGAAAGTAACCCCACCCACCTGTCACTTTACCCTACAGAGATGAATCACTGTGGTGACGATACTGTACCCAGCCATTTCACACTTCCTGTCTGCCTGTCTGTCCTATTGTCTTTTACATTGCATGGACAAAGTGTTTGATTGTGAGGGTGTGTGTATTGGCCCCTCCCCCTCACTCCACCCCTACAAACTCCTACCACTCCTCCATATGACATGATTCAAGGAACAGAAGCAACAGAAAGTAGAAAGTAACTAAATCCAAATTCAGCAAGGTTAGTTTAAATACATTTTATTTAAAATATAATAGTAGAAAATAAAAAATATATATCTGATTCAGTAAATAAGAACTTGTCTGCTTAGCAGAGATGTTTGTAGAAGAGACAACTTGCCTCTGCATACAGTACAACTTAACACCTTCAATACCTGACATCTACAATATTTCAGCACTCAGATTTCTAAAAGACATCAAGTGGTATTTGAGCCATCAGTGCTGGCAAACATTCATGTGTGATGTAAACATTCAACAACATTAGAGTATTAAAAACTGCTACACAAATAAATCCTACTTGTACCAAGGCCTGTGATGGTTTCAAACGTACCCTCCAACATGCCTCCATATCTCTAAGAGTCCACTCTGTTGATGCTATTAATGTCCTTCCACAATCCACTTTTAAATATTTATGGGCCTCGGGTCGCCACAAACCGGCAACAGCCGACCCTACAGTTTCCAACAGAACAGTCACAGTTGACCCCCCCAGTTCTATTATCTCTGTAATAGCTCCATTGTGTCTGTAGTTTTCCCTTAATGCAGCATTTTCCAACTTTTCATGCTTCCTCAAGACCAAAAGGTGCCCTGTCTGTGTGCAAGTGGGACTTGAGTCTCTGGAGGTAATGTTTGTTGAAATGTCATGCATGGACCCTGTCCGACTGGAGACCGCCTGCACTTGACTGCGGTGATAATGGCTTTTCATAAACATTTCGCCACTCTTCAGCTCAAAACAAGGCGATGCAGTCTGAGCATCCAACACATGATGGGCAGCCTTTACCGAACACTTCGTCAGTTTACCGCTACTTGGTAAAAACTGCCTTTTTGAGATTAAAAATAATACTATCACAGTTTGTAAGGGAATTCCAACAGGAAGCCTTGGACAACATGAGTTACAGGCAGCTCCGGAACCTGGCTTCCTCCGCCACACAGCTCCATGATGCGCTTCCTGCACAACTCTTGCAGCGTTGGTGCCCATTTCCTGTAGGGGATGCTCAGGTTCTTTTTGGGAGAATTGATGTAATGCTCCAACAGGGCAAAGAGCGTTGGGAAGGAGCGCTCGTTGCCCGCCAGTGAGAACTTTTGCCGCTTGTAGTCGATGCGCACGCTGACCGGCCCGGACTTGGCGTGGTAGGACAGCGTGAAGAAGACGTCTTTCTGACGGCTGTCGCGGATGAGGAAGCTTCCAAGCGGAGCGTCCCGCAGCATGCGATGGGCTTCTTCCACTCCCAAAGGGCCCCAGTAGAAGCCGCTGCGCTCGAGCTTGGACGCTGTGTCTGTGATAATGTTGCAGTCCTCTATGCTGGAAAAGGTGCGGAAGTGGGTCAGGTAACTGGGGCGGGCGGACGGCGATCTCGGGTTCGGCTCCGGAGCAGCCCGTTGCTGAAGCTGCTCCGACTCTGTGCGCTGAGGGCTGAGGCCGAGATCGTGCCTGGCAAGCGAGGATGACAGTGAGGACGATGAGGACGATGAGGACAAGGATGAGGAAGCGAGGATGAGGACGAGGATGATGACGAGGATGATGACGAGGTTGAGCTTGACAAGTGGGTCTTGTCATGGCCTTCCACTGTGCTGTCGGCTACCATCCTACAGGGGAGAGCGGCCCCAGACCCTCTCCCATCTCTAACCACCACACTGACATCCTGAAAGAGACAAGAAAGAGAGTTATTATCAACATTCATCTGTGACTATTAAAGTGAACTGCTTTTTCACAGCGGCATGGTTAGGGTAAAGTCGGTAGAGGGAAACAAAATTACAAAGACAGAGTGACACAACTTTAAAAGCAGGTTTTAAGCAATGACCAGGTGAGGCCCTAAAAGAAGAAAGTGTGTGTGTGTGTGCGCAGTGACAAGTGTAGGTCAGAAATGTATTCTAGTTTCCATTGATGGGTACTGTGTTTGATATGAGTGGAATCTGCGGTTTGGCTAGAAGGTTACAGTCAACGTTGATGTCAGCCACAGACAGATTACAGTACACTCACACACACACACACAGTTCATGGTGCTTATAGCGGTATTTGTTTCTGTCTCAATTCTGCCGTAATGACTGAAACATCTGGTTGAACTGAAACTTTTTCAAGCTGATAATAAATTTAAAAAAAAAAAAAGTGAGTATTTCAGGACAATAAGGTTTTGAAATACTAAACTGACATGACTCAGTTGTTAACTAACACTGGAGCCTGGAACTGAACCTGTATTGTATTAGTTGGACTGGATGAGGTGGTGAACGTCTGTCTTCTGACTATCTGAGTTTACAGGAATCATTGCATCATTACTTATCACGCATCAACTGGCCTAACCTGTGGGATTCACCTTTCTGTCTAGTTCAGTGTGAATGACCTAAAAGCCTTATGAGGTAATAATAAGTTACCTTAAATTCCAGGAAAAGGTAGCCTAATGTTGTTATGTAGCCTAATATGTTGTCATTTTCCAGGCCACACGTTATAATTCAAATTATAGACAGATTACAGATTTTTCTTTTTTCCCACAACAGGCTGAAGTGAACAGCTGTGAGACAGTGGGAATCAAACAGGATTAAGAGTGAAACTCCATCCACTTTCTAAACCCCCTTAATTCACCGCTTCATGCATTCACTCCACTGGAGCTCACACAACAGTTCCACACATTTTTCCACTGCGCAGTGCCCAGGCCAAAAAAAAAGGTGGAAAAGCAGTCATTTCTGTTGCAAAGCACCATTTTTTTTATCCTCCAAAAAACACCCTGCAATGGAGCATAAAAGTCTTACCGTTTTGTTCTAACAGCAGCGGCGGTTTAAAGATCCGTTTGTGCGTAATCCCAAAGTGGCCAAATTGCGGCGGCGGCGGTTTCCTGCAGGTAATCCGTGACACAGCGCAGGGTGGCTGGGAATATCGCATTTGACAGCTCGGAGGTAACTCGTCGACCTGCTGGCTGTGATTTCCACCCTTCAAATCATCACTCTCGTATGTGTGCGTGAAACCTGGTAAACTCTTTTTATATAGAGCAGCGTCTCAGCTCCGCCCCGCTTTGAACTGTGCTGTTCGCTTTAGCGGCAGGCTGGCCGTTTCTCCGAAAAGAAAACACACAACCGAAAGTGAAACTGATTTCAGAGCAGCCCCTTCTGCTCTTTCTGTTCGTTTGAACTCGCGTCTGATTTGGAGAAATACAAGAGAACCGCAAAGCCACGTGAAAGTAGGACGTTTTTACAGAAACACAGGTGACCGATTCGAGTAATGGCAGCGTTTAAGGTTTGTTTTTAAGGTTTGGCATTTGCCCCCCCCTTGTATAAGATTAATTACCAAATGCATTCACTGCAAAAGGGTAGGGGTTAGGGTTACATATTTGGTTTTAATTCAGATATGTAGCCTGTAAATAAACATGCATGTATCAACACACCCGTCATTTCACAAGGGCACAAGGTGTTATTTATTATGAGGGGTGAACTTGCATGCAGAAGTTTACATTAAAATGATTTATCAGGTAAAATGTCTGTCATGCCCTGCATTGGTCTCAAATGTCAGATGTTGCATGTAGATAAAATTCCAGATAGAAATCAGGTTAACCTTTGGCATCAAGGCAAGTCCCTTTTTAGGTTAAAATCTTGAGAGAGAGCATTCGTGTATAATATCAAACCACATGAGGAGGACAATGCGAGGACTATTTACAGTAAATATTGCATTCACACAAAAAAGCAGTAGTGAACATCACTTGGGGCCCACGAGGAAAATCAAATCACTGCCTCTGCTGCACTTCTTCATTAGTTGTTGAGCTCTTCTGCAGAAGAGTAATTCATGGGACTGTTGTTTGGGGTGATTCATCGCAGAAATGCTCATATTGTGACATCGATACAGTCGCTATTTTGAGTTTTAGGCCACAATAACTTCTTCTTTATTATAATGTATAAATTTGTGGTAGAAACGTAATACAAATGACACATCATAGTTCATATATGGTGGTTTAATAGTGAGACTCTGTGGGGGGTGGGGGGGTTGCTATTTCTGAGAACTGTTCCACATGAAGTCAAATCACTCTGAAGTCATAAACTCCTGCCTAATATGATAAGTTCTAAGTATATCAGCTAGAACCAGATGAAACAGAGTCGGCTTGTGACGTAAGACTCATTTCGGAGGAATCTGAAAATGGAGTTTAATTTGATCTAACTAAAGTGTCTGAGCAGCAGTTCTTCCAGGCAGTATCTACGTTTACAGCTGCATTCGTACAGTAGGACAGTATCTCCTCCCGCAGTGCAACTGTATTTTGGCAGAGGATTGTCAAAGACTTAATCAGTGTTTCGTGCCAAAAGATTCATGCATTTGGCAAGCAGATGCAGGAAATAGTATAAGTACATTAAATGACATTAAATGACATTACGAGTCAAGTGAGACATAAAAGTCGCACGTATGAACGTATGAACGTGGTTTAGAAAGAGACGGTTGAATTGCCCCAGGTGGTCATGGTGTCACATTACCAAAGAGTGGAGAAATAGAAAGTTAAGGAAAGACTCTGGTCAGCTGGCATTACTTAAATAAGCAGAGACAGACAAGCAGGGAGGCAGACAGACAGGCAGACAGACAGACAATGGTTAAGACAAAGCTGTATGAGGTCATAGTGTCTGTCTGTCTGTGTCATGGTTAGTTTCATTTTTACTAGGACTATTCTTATTCACTTAGTACTCAAATTAGACCTCTGGTTCAATTATGAATATCTGATGATTCTGGAGCACAGGAATAAAACTTCTGGACTTTGTATTAGTCTTGTACCAGTCATCTTCTTCGTCAGGTGATGGGTTCAGATGTGTTAAGCTGTTACTGCAGCCAATCATAATCTGTTAATGTGTTGCATCGTCTATAAATGCAGGACCCTATGCACATCTGGGAAGCTCAGCACATCTGGTGCCTACTCTGCCATGCTTACACAGGACTTACAGTCTTGAGAATTACTCTTAAGTTTTTTTTTTTTATAGTTCTAATGTTTTTTTTTATTCTGTTTTTTTCTGCATGCTTGAGACACTCACCTTTGATATGTGCCTTTTTCCTATTTAAAGCCAAATTTCCGGAGGCTTTCAGTAACAAATAAACAGGAAGTGTATCCTTAGGTAACAAAATATACACAATCCAGACTGTCAGTAACTCAAAGGGAAAGGGGATTTTACACATTAAAGTCTGTTTACAGGTCTTGGGGAGTATTGCATGTGTTAAAAAAGTTGCAGTCACTTAAGAAAAATCTGGGGTTGTGAAGTTAGAAAGAAGCGAGGTTACTCTGTAGCTCACTCCTGTTCTCTGGTTGAGAGTATCTTAAAACATCTAGTACATCTGATATTGAGACTTGTTCATTTGTATCTACACTTTATGAACAAATGATTAGCTGATAACTTCTATCAGTGTGTGTTTTGCTTGTGGCTTTGAGAATAATCGCTAATACTGATACTTTATATGTTGAAGGTTATGTTCGCAGTGCAGTGCTGGAGCCTGCACACAGTGCAGGGAGATGTGATTCAAGTAAGGGGGGAGACAGACAGACAGACAGACAGACAGACAGAGGGAGGAGTGGGTATACTGTACTCTGTGTTGTTTGGTTAAAAATGTGTGTTCTGTTATGTATGCATGTGTACATTTATGCACTTTATTTGCACACACATGCTCCATGAGTTTCATTTCTGTGAAACAGGGAGAGAAGCAGGAGACTGAACCACAGCCAGCTGGAGGGTGAGCGCAGACCAGTGAGAACGCGTTTGTGTGTATGAATGCAACGGTTCATTCGTTAAACGCAACAGAAAATGTCACAATGTCACATGCATTGTGCCATTGCGCCAAAAATAACAAAAAATACTATGTTGAGGTTTAATGATCTGGGATCCGTTTTAGTTATTGAAGGAAATTTGTTGCTGTCGCCACACACTGAAACTTGTTAAATAAAGTGTATTGTTTTTTATTTTGGTTTTTGCTCTTGAAAGGGAGCGGTCACAGTGAGAGGATTTATCAATGGATGACAAATGGATGAAAAATGCAGAGCAGGGGAAATCTTTTTTTTTTTTTTGCTGTAACTAGTCCTGCAGGAGCCATATGAATTGAACCATTACAGCTTCGTTGGAGTCTGTCTGTACTTTGCATGTTTGGTAGATCATCCTGAGACATGATTATTGGCAGATGACGCAACATGAGCATGTCACAAAACTCTGGAAGTTTCTGCAGAAGCTTTAATGCTAATATCTTTCACTTTTAACTTCTGCGGTCCGCAGAGTTACTGGTGACTATTAAAATGTACTGATGTATTTTAGGCCTGCAGTATTCAACGAACAAAAGCTCAGATACTGTTTCATAGTGTTTAACTGTCACCTGGGAACAGCACGGGTAGATATGATGAAGATCTGTGTCTGTGTGGGTGTGTAAGGTGCTCGTCATAATGGCTCCCTGTCTCACTCCACCCATCCACAAAGAAAAATCTGCACGTCCTTGTCTGGAAAACAAAGAGATCATATGCTTCAAAACCTTACCTTGTTTGTTCTTCTTGTTTAACACTTGTTAAGCAGTGACTGAGACAGTCGCTGGTGGAAAATTAGTGTATGAGTGTGTGTGTGTGTGTGTGTGTGTGTGTGTGTGTGTGTTGTTCTCTGCCATTGACATAGGCCTACATGTACACTTGTAATCTGCTATCATTCTCCATTATGTTGCCACCATTTACTATCTATTTTGTCCATTGTTGTATTGTGTTGTTTTGCTTTCAGTTTACCAAGCTGTCTTATTGAGATAGTCACTGGTAAAAAACAGTAAGAACACCCCTCAACCCCCACCTCCACATGCCGTCATCGGGCCTTGCTCCACAGGAGAATGTATTTTCAGTATGATGACAATCTGACAAAGCCTAAAATTATTTATTATACACTGTGTAATAGTATACATTTCCAGTTTGCTATACTTTCATTTTTTATGTACTGTATATTCAGTGATAAGGATCATTGCTGGTAACTACTCTGCTGCTGAATTGACAGTAAGTGAAGTATGAATGGTGGCTACAGTAATTGGTTAGCTGTTATCTTTAAGTAAACATCACAGAGCACACATTACTGCTATAAACCTTATGTGAACCTTAAGCGCTGTATGTTATGGTACTGTGTAGTGAGTGCGCTACAACCAACCAATAAATCATCTTTAGTAGGGTTGTATAACTTTTATATTTCGGTTTTGAGCGTGTGCAGTTCCATTTTGTATAATTAGTTTATGGTAAGCTTTACAAGAAGTCATGAAACAAAGATGGTAGAGGAGGAGAAAAGAAACTAGTTTTAAGCCAAAAACAATACTGTGAATATTTACTGAAGAGGGTGTGGCATGTTTTCCTGCATTGTGTGAGATAATTATTGTTACTTCAAAAAACAAAAAAAGCTAATGCTATTGTTGCTCCTGCCTGTAAGTGAATCTTAAACTTGCCAGCCATAATGCCGCCAAACCTCATAATATAATTAATAATTACTCATTTTGGCATTTCCCAGCAGTCACTTCGGCAAGCAGACCAAGAAGTTCTCCTGACCAGCAGCCAAAACACTTTAATATCAAACACAAGGAGATGGCATTGTCTCTTTATCTCCTTTCTGAATGTTATTGTATGTAAGAGTTGGTCAGAGGGAAGATAGGAGCCAGCAGAAAGCTTGATTTCCAAATACAGATCCAGTAGTTCCTGCACACATCTGTCAAAACATAATTGAATCCTGATGAAAGTGGAAGTAGAGCTGTAGTGAAATGAGAAGCTGCATTTCAGTGAATCTTTACGGATTATTGTAAGGAGGTTCTAGAAAATTTACTGGGACATTTATTACTTTCTCATTTACTTAGCAGAAAAAACTCCCTAATTATCTGTTCTACAATCTAGATGAAATGATAATAGGTGACCTATGCACGAATGTTTTGCTAATGTAAATGTGAAAGTACAAATTTCTTCCATGAACTCCTGATGCTTATGGGAAGCACTGCAGCATTTTTTTTTGTTTTACTGCGAGCCAACAAAATTCCTTAGGCCTCAATAGTTTCCAGTATTGACTCATGTTGCCACAAAAATAAATATAAAATGTCAACAGGAAAGCGTCTGCGAAGATCATTTACTCTTAGTAATCTTCTAAAGCTGTGATTTCAACTTCAATATCAGAGTTGATATGCTGAGTATATATTCCAAGTTTTAATTTTGCCTTAACTTCCAGCTTCTAACCCACTTGATTTTTGGTGTTAAAAAATTATAATATATTACTCTAAACTAATACCTAAAGCACAAAACTCTTATATATATATCTTATATAATATATATATAACTCATTAT